AATAATATATATAATATTCGGGATGGGACGGGACGTCCCGATGGTAATCCCGTGTCCCGTCCCATCCCAAACCGCTTTCCTATCTCGTCCATAAAGTCTCATCCTGATTATTTTCGGGCCAGGACAAGACCCGTCCCGATATGATTGGAATGATACCAGGCCAATCGGGACTGATCCAGACTGAACACCCTTAGTACGCATACCTCTAAGCTAACATTCTCATGAACTTGTAAAAACTAGTTAGATTTAAGTCTCTCAATGAATAAATAGGATAATCCCTCAAAGATTTTCAACAACTAGTGGATTTCTAACAACAACTCCTCTCCCTATAGCTTATAGGCGAACTCTTATCTTAAATGATCATGTATTGCAACTTATGCTTACACATAGCATGACTCTTTTTGTCCTATCATTAGTTTGTGGCTTTTCAAGCAAATAGACATAACGTGCCAATTTTCAACAATCATATTCATTTTCATGCACAAGCTCAATCATGCTCACCTAATGTCATTACACAATTTCATATTATCATGTTCTTACTCCTAATCACATCAAGCATATATACATATATATCATTTTCATCAATTCATGATCACTTTGCAAATCTTGACAAATTCCAACGATATACATCGAGCATAAGTTTGCAAGCATTACTTGGTTTTCAACCATTCATTTCAACATATATTAACTAATAAATAAATACACAAACTAAATTTTTTCTAGTTACCTCAAGCTTTTAAGAGATCAAATGTTTACTCTTTAATATTCCAAACCTCCAAAGCCTCATTTAGTACCAAGAGATGATTAATCTACAATTAATTATATCAGTTGTCATTAATATCCCTATTAGGATAATTTCTAATATTTACTCAACACTTCTATAACTATCCAAAATTTCAATCCCTCACATTTAAACTTACCTATAGAGTCTATTAGCTTCTTTTAATTCACATAGGTATCATTAAACCATTAAGCCACCATTAAAGGCTAGTCAATACCTTTAACAACCCCAATTAATGCTAATTTATGGGTATTGATTACCTTTCAACCATCATAGTCCATTTAATCATTAATATTGACATTAAATAAACTAAATAACTCCATTAACTCCATTTAGGTCATTAGGTTCAAACCCATAACTTCATAGGTTAGAAAAGCACCATCCCATTACAAACCTTAGCTCAAATCTTCAAAAAAATGAAGAAGGATGAAAGGAATGAACATAAGAAACTTGCCCTTAGTATGAAAGCTCTAAAATGTCCCTAATAGTCTAAAATTTTGAGCCCTAATAGAGCTTGATGTGTATTCCTCATTTTCTCCCTTTTTCTCCTTTTGATTTTTGAACTAATGGAGCCTCACTTATGTAAAAATTTGACAATGTGCCCCAATACATGGCACAAAGAAATTATCCCTTTGTGAGTTGTCACACATGTGCCACAATGGAGGTGGGATATATGATGACATGTGACACAAACCCATTTTTCTCTAATTTTTCTTCCCTTTTGGGGTTCAAATGACCTGACTTCATTTTAGACTCAAATCTAAAGTTAAAACCACAACTCAAAATATTGGTTAGACCTTGCTAGCCACACACTAAATTAATTTAGTAAATTATCCTAATTTAGCTTTGTTAATTAGGGTTAAATTTTTAGGATGTTATGCTTTTCATTCTAAATGTTAATCCTAAATACTCTAGTCTATTCAACACAACAACAAAATAATAAATTTTTAACTACATTCAAAAGTACTTAGCAACAATAGCACAAGCTCAGTCTACACACCAATAGGAAATATCAAGAGAGTAAGGGAATGCACACAACAATAATGGAAATATTCAAATTAAGTAAAAAATTAATAGGATGATTATTTAATTTGAAAAATCAAAACCCAAAACACCTAAAACCACCTAAAAAAATCAAGAACAACCATGGGTCAAACAAGAATCAAATTTGAAATTACCTTTTGCAATAAATAAATCTCTATAACTTATGAAGTCAAAAGAGAGATTGATGATAGAAAAATCAAAGAAGATGAGAGAACACCAAAAACTAGGAGGGGAGGGCATGAGAGGGATGACAAACCCACAAACAAGCCTTGCAATGAGAAAATAAGTACAATATAATAATCACAAACCCATCATTGATATAGTGTAAAAGCGTGGTTAGATCGCCAAAAACACATTTTCACAAGGGTCTAGAGAGTTTTTGAGAGGTTTAGGCATGTCTAAAGTGAGAACAATTCAATTTAGGAATATGATTTTAAAACATAATAGTTGACGGTTATTTAAAAAAAACTGTCATGTTATATTTGACATTGGTTTCGAAATAACCATCAAATATATACTTGATATGCTTGATGGGTTTTATAGAACTAGCATCAAATATATTTTTTTTAAAAAAATTCTTTTTAATGTTATTCACTTGACGCTTGTTAAAAGAAAATCGTTAAGCATATCTAGCTTATATTTGATGGTTCTCTTTAAACAAGCATAAAAAGTGCATCCACGCGTGTGATATTCGACTGTTATTTATAAATAATTATCAATTATATATTAAATTATTTGGAAATTTTTTTAAAAAAACTGTCAAGTATGATTCACGTATTTTTTTCGTTGCTTATTTCAATTAATCGTGTAGCATGAAGCTTCTTATTTAGATAATTTTGTGGCAGTAAATGTATGGATTATAAAAGAGAGAGAACGTACACAAAATAAGATTGAATTATATTAATATTTTTATAAAGTTCAGCTAATTTGACTTCAACTTGTTTTTTCTGTCAAACAATCGTCATTCAATACCTCTCTCAATTTTTCCGTGCAGGGCAACATATTGAACTTATGCATGACACACACACACACACACACACATTCGTTCAAAAAATATGAAGTCGTTTAACTCATTTGATCGCCGTAATAAAAACAAATCATAGTGTCGAGTTGCAGAAAAAGCTAATTCTATATCAATAAACAAAATAAATAGATAAAAAAAGGTGTATGTCAAAGCATAAATGAGTTAGGTGATATTTGTGAAACGAAAGGAACAATATAATGTGTCTTGTGAAATATATCCCCGTTTTAATTGGAATACTTCTAGGCCCAAAAAAGGAAGGATAAATTCAGCTCATATGGGTTGACTGCAGTGGATCGCACTCGGTCCATAAAGACCAAAACATGGAAGAGTAGTTAGTGTAGCGCTCATCCGAGGTACGAATCTGCCGTTGATATGGTCGGGGATCAGATTCTGGCATTCTGTTCATCTCCTAATTATTGGCCCCATGATTAACACCCTGAATCAACCAACCTAGTGGAATGGGTGATTGCGTGCTGGGGAATTTCTACAGTTGAAAAAGTTCCCTTTGTGCTTGAACCCCGACAAGAATGGGGGAAACAGGAAGAAAGAAAAACCTTACAATAGCATGACCTCATCTTGTGCGTCCTCCCATCATTCTAAAAGAAATCATTTTCACTTTTCAGTCCCACATGAAAAATTTAAATATACTTTTTTTATAAAACTATAAATTATTTTAAAATTCCATCTCCTTCAGTAGATTGTCAATTTACTATATTGAATAGTCCTCAGTAGAGTTATTTAATTGACAATTTAGTAATAATAATTAATTTTAATAAAATTAGTGATGATTAATAACTGTCCAGCAATAATTAATAATTTTATAAAATATTTTGCATTCTTGTTGTGGAAAATTATTTTGTATTTAAATTATTTATATAAGACTTGGAAAGTGATTTTTCATAACCCTATTGCGGCATTGCCTTCTTTTCGTACAAGTCATGGCATCTGTTCTCGTTCACATCATGTTTGATTTTTGCAAATTTATTTGTTCATCTACTTTACACCCGTCCCAGTGCCATTGGACGACGTGAGGCAAAAGCTGGAAACTACGTTAAGAAATTTCAAATTCTAATAAAAAATGAGCAAAATTGATTGTTGTGGAACGTCCCCACCCCTTTACTTTTCCCACACCCTCCTCTTCTTTCCCTTTGAATTTTCTTCAATCTCTGATTAGCTTTGGTTTCTCTTTTGTCAAAATCTTCTTTAAAATACCCTCTTCGGTACAATTTTAATAAAAATACTCCTTGGCCAGAGTTGCTTTTGTTTGGTTATTACCAACCCCCACAAAAATCCTACCCACTCAATCCTTCTGGTTACCCTCACGAATGAATTTTGATGATCAAACTGCCACAATTAAGAGGTCAACACTCTGTGCTCTGCTTCTAGATTCAACTTAGATTCTTATTAGCGTTCATTACGCCTAACTTGCCTCAACATCACTATTTTTATTTGTCAGCGTATTGGTATTTGCAATTATTTTCGTTTCATTAACATATGCAATCTGTTTTCTTTCTTTCTTTCTTGTTGTTTTCTTTTTTCCTTTCTGTCTTCTTTTCAGTGATATTACAGTTTTTTTTTATAAATTATTTTCATCAACCTCATCAATATTAATATAAAAAAATATAAAAAATAAAATTGTGTAAAATTTTAAATATATTTTTATATAAAAAATTTAAAAAATAATGTCATGTTATTTTTTATAAAAAATAATTTTAAAAATATATTTTAAATATTATTTAAAAAATTAGATTGTAACTTATAAATAAAAATAAATAAATTTTTTAAAATGTAATTTATAAATGGAAAGCGAGTTAATAGCGATGAATAAACTCTGCGTCCATCATGACAAATGGCTTACGTTTTCGTGACTGTACGTGGGTCCGTGGTTGAAAAGTTTTCCACAGAAAATTGACTAGCAAGGGCGATGGAGGTCGATTCTGGGAAATTAAAATCACGGTAGGTTTGGAGCTGCCGGTGTTTTTACACCAACTCTCGCACTAATATTGTCCTATGGAACTTTATCCTTCATGCTCACCCTAACTCTGTCAGAGTCTTTGACCCTTTCACATTTCTTATCTAAGGAAGCGTGCATTAATTACATAAAAAATTGTCGGTGAAGGGCTAAGTGAAACAACTTGATAGAATGGCTTGCATTGTTTTTATCTTATGAGCAGGATGGTTCTTCCTATTTTTTATTAATATGATTTTCTTCCATACTTCTGTCAACTTCATGTCTTTACGTGCAAAATACATAACTTTATTTCTGGTCCGATGTTTATGCGGGCAACATATGCGCTGGCAAGAAGAAAACAGTTGCACTATGGCCGGTCGATGAATTTCGCTATATCGAACCATAAACCGATATTCCATTTCCATTCTTTCCCCAATGGATATTTACGCCGTTGTTCTTGTTCTTTGTCTTGAGGTATCCTTAGCAGTTTTTGGTGTTGTTCAATCCCAGCTCATTACTGATGGCATGACCTTAGTTTCCGAAGGCGGAACATTTGAACTAGGTTTCTTCAGTCCTGGTTCTTCCAACAAACGTTACCTTGGAGTTTGGTACAAAAACATCCCAATTCAAACGGTCGTTTGGGTTGCCAACCGCAACAATCCAATCAATGACTCCACTGGCATCCTAACATTGAACAGCACTGGTAACCTCGTACTCAGTCAGAATGACACAGTCGTCTGGTCTACAGCCTCTCTGAGAAAGCCAGAGAGTCCTGAGGCTCTGCTTTTAGATTCTGGCAATTTAGTGGTAAGAGACAAGAAAGACCCAAACTCAGATGCCTATCTGTGGCAAAGCTTCGATTATCCATGTGATACATTCTTGCCGGGCATGAAGTTTGGGTGGGACTTACGAACTGGTCTGAATAGGCGTATAACAGCATGGAAGAGCCCAGATGATCCAGCTACAGGGGATTTCTCATGGGGCATGGTTCTTAATAGCTATCCTGATGCTTACATGATGTTGGGTAATCAGAAGTTTTACAGAGCTGGACCTTGGAATGGACTGCGTCCTACTGGTTCACCACAGCTAAAGGACAATCCACTTTTTCACTTTGAGTTTGTACAAAACAAGAATGAGGTGTACTTCATGTACAACCTTAAAAACAAGTCTGTGATCTCAAGACAAGTGCTGAACCAAACAATTAAAGCTCGACAACGCTTTGTGTGGATAGAAGATGATAAAGTTTGGAGGCCCTATGCTTCGGTGCCATTGGACTTATGTGATAGCTATGATCTGTGTGGACCTTATGGAATCTGCGTGATTTCAGGATCACCAGTGTGCCAATGTTTAACAGGATTCAGGCCTAAGTCACCAGAAGCATGGGACTCAATGGACTGGTCTAAAGGCTGTGTCCGGAAGAAGCCACTGAGCTGCGAGGACAAACTCAAGGATGGGTTTGTCACGTTCGGTGGATTGAAATTGCCAGATACTGAACATTCTTGGCTTGATGAGGCCATGAATCTAGAGCAATGCAGAGAGAAGTGCTTGAACAATTGTTCTTGTATGGCCTACACTAATTCAGATATAAGAGGAAAAGGTAGCGGCTGCGCCTTGTGGCTTGGCGATCTAGTTGACATCAGACAGTTTGCAGCTGGTGGGCAGGATCTAAATGTTCGAATGTCTGCCTCAGAACTAGGTATGACCATGAACTTTCGTTTAGACATTCTCTTTTTTGGACTTTTTAAGTTCCCTCCTCAAATTTATGATCTAACCTCAAATTCCTGTCTGATGAAATTAAATTATGAAGAGGCTGATGGTAACAGCAAGAAGGTGGGGGTCATGGTGGCAGTGATAGCAACTGTTTCTATAGCTACAGTTACTGCTGCACTCATATTGGGGTGGCGTTATACCCAGAAAGGAAGCAAATTAAAGAGAGGTAAATCTCCACCCTTCTCTTCTGAGACGACCTATATTGCTAATTCATGTTCATAAAACAGTCTTTCAGCAAGTTAGTGATAACTGACTTTGAAAGTTCGTACTAGCCAAGTAAAAGATAATGTAAACAATGCATGATGTTTGGTGTGTAACTACATGCTACAATGTAGTAAACAATGCTTGAGAAGTAATCATTATAACACTTGTTCTGAACCCTACATGCTAAACTAACTAATAATAGAGGCTAAAATGATGATTGCGTTGAAATTTTGAAATTGTTGTAATAATTTCTTTGTCAATTCTCTCTGATGACTAGACTAGAAGTAATCACAGTAACATCTGTGTGAAATGTTTCTCAACGGAAGTTTTATATAATCATCACTTGATTAAAAAAAAAAAAACCACCAATTGAAATAGAACATGTTGAAAGTAGTTGTCTTGATCATTTTAAGGAAAGAAGTAGATTATATTTCATTGCTTGAAAAGGGAAACGAGTTTTGCCTCTTTGAATATTAATGGAGGTCTATATAGTAAATATTCTGTCAATTTATTGTGATCATCACAAATATGACAGACTGACAACACCCGCGTCAAATGTGTTAAATTAGACCGCAGCATTAGAGTAGATCACGGAGAGAGCCAAGTGGATGACATGGACCTGCCATTCTTTGACCTGTTATCAATTGCTGCTGCTACTTGTGACTTTTCAATCGACAACAAAATTGGAGAAGGTGGATTTGGACCTGTATACATGGTAATTTTTTTTTTTTTTTTCACAGGTTAAGACCATTGTGGAATTAGGAAAAGAAGTAAGATTAATTGAACACATTTCAATCAATTGACATTTATATTTCCAGGGAAGGCTGAAAGATGGGATAGAAATTGCTGTGAAGAGGCTTTCGGCAAACTCAGGACAAGGGTTAACTGAGTTCAAGAATGAAGTAAAACTAATTGCCAAACTTCAACACCGCAATCTTGTAAGGCTCCTTGGTTGCTGCCTTCAAGGGGAGGAGAAAATGCTGGTTTATGAATATATGCCTAATGGTAGCTTGGACTCCTTTATTTTTGGTATGGCTTGGAGGAACAATACTTTAAGGAAATGATATTGTCTAGTTTTATAATTTTAGTACCATTTGAGAGCTAAATTGTAAGTTATTGACATGGATTGATGATTTTATTTTTCTTTGATTAAAAATTTGACAGATGAGAACAAGGGTAAATTATTAGATTGGTCAAAGCGTTTCCACATTATTCTAGGGATTGCAAGAGGACTCATATACCTTCATCAAGATTCTAGACTAAGGATCATTCATAGGGATCTCAAAGCAAGCAATGTCTTACTAGATAAAGATATGAATTCAAAGATTTCAGATTTTGGCATGGCTAGAATTTTTGGAGATCAAAATGAAGTAAACACAAAGAGAATAGTTGGAACTTAGTGAGTGTTTTTCATTACTCTAAATTTAAAATTTTATATATCTTGTTTTCATTAAGAGGCTTATTCCAAATAAAATTTTGCAGTGGTTATATGGCACCAGAATATGCAACTGATGGACTTTTTTCAGTGAAATCCGATGTCTTTAGTTTTGGTGTCTTAGTGTTGGAGATTATATCTGGGAAGAGAAGTAGAGGATATTATGATCCAAATCACAGCCATAACCTCATTGGTCATGTAAGTGTATGACAGGTATCCATTTTATTCATATTATCAAACAGATATATGATAAGGAAGTTTTACGTGTTTCAGGCATGGAAATGTTGGAAAGAAGGGAAACCAGCAGAATTGATTGATTCAAGCATGCAAGACTCATGCTTCCTATCTCAAATATTGCATTGCATTCATCTTAGTCTCTTGTGTGTTCAACAACATCCAGAGGATAGACCAAGAATGTCATGTGCCCTGTTGATGTTCTTAAGTGAGACCCAATTGCCTGAGCCTAAACAACCAGGTTACTTTGGGAATGCTTCTGTGGAAGCATATTCCTGCACAGGTAAGCAGGAATTGAGCTCAACAAATGAAATAACCATTACCCTAATAGAACCTCGATGATATTCCTTCACTTTGCAGATCCAGATTGTATAGATGCAGTATCATGTTATGTTAGGAATTTAATATAAAGGTCATGGACTATATTTTCTCTCGTCTTTCCTTCCTTTGTTTAATTTGGTATAGTCTGTGAATGTAAATTAGTAAGTATGCAGACTAGGTCAAGATAGCAGAGAAGCTTGCATTCACATTAAGCTGCAAACATGACACTGTATTAAATAGCATAACAGGTAGCTTGACTGACATAACATAATATTGATAGTAAGTAACCTAGCACAACAATCAAGTTTTCAATTTAAGCTAGATAATGAAGCTGAATTAGATTTACATGTTACTCATTAAGAAGTAAAGCTGCATATTGTGATGCTCAAAGAGATACTATGCTGTGTAAAGCATCATAAAAAATTAGCTTCTTTGCCTAAATAAGAGTAAGACGAAATATTTACATTATAATTTTGATAAGAGATTAATCAATAATAATTTGAAAGTAAATTAGAAAATTAGATATTTGGAAGCAATTATTCAACTAGAGAAATTGATAAGAATGTTGCACATAGAATACAAGTTGGGTAGTTCAAATGAAGAAAGGTTAAAGGAGTTATTTGTGATTGAAAAGTAACTTAAAGATTAGTTTTATCTAACTACTATAAGATCAACCATATTATATAGTAGGGAATCTTGGGCTTTAAGAGATAGCATGAGCATAAATCTGGAGTAATAAAGGTCAATGTAAATGCTAAGATGAATGTGCGGGCATATATAAAAAGATAAAAGTTAAAATGAACATACACAAGAAAAAGTAAGTATGGCATCTATTAAGAGGGAAATGATAGAAAATCATTTGAGATAGTTTGAACATGTACAGAGAAGGTTGTTGGAGGCATCGGTGAAGAAAGTAAAATAAATAATCTTAAACCCTATGAGGAGAGATTGAGGAAGACCAAAGCGAATAATTATGAAAGTTATTGAACGAGATCTTTTATGCTATGTTTGGTTGGAAGGGAGGAGACAAGAAGGATTTTAATGGAGAGGAAGGGAGGGGAGGAATGCCCCTAATTTCGAGGGGAGGTATTAGAGGTTAAAATTTTCCCTCCCCTCTACTTTGCCAAACAAGGGGAGGGGAGCTTAAGATCCAAACCAGATTTCAAGTAGGATATTGCCAAGATCTCTAGTAGGATATTGCCAATCTCTCCAGCTTTTGTAGGAGATGAAAAAGATCCTCTAATTGAATGGTTTACTGTAGAAGCCAAACCAGTTTATGTCTCTCACATAAATGGTCACTTTATCTGAAATTGTGCCTAGAAATGTGTAATTCAAATTGTGATTGTTATCTTTGGAACGATTCAAATGATGATGATTGTAGTTTCAGAAGAAGGACTAGGGAGCCCAAGCATCTTAGATCTCTATGTAGAAACAAAAATCCTCCGAAGGATGACGATAACAACAACCATGGCCCTAAACAATCTACAAAGAGAAAATGGGTAAGGAAGGGGAGGGAAAATTACCTCCAACTAAACAAGGGGTTAATTAATAATATTTTTAAAAGCTTGGTTGATAATATAATACAATAATATTATGTAATTCATATAACCAATCTCATTTAATAGAATAAAGTCTGTTGTTGTTGTTAATACTCTCTGTGGTAAAATGATCATAATGTGTGTGAAGTTATCTTTCTTGAAAATATAGAGTCAAAGCTCTTTTCAGAACTCACTATAGTTAGGCCCTTGGTTGGAATCAACACTTTTTGTCCATCAAACAAAAACAGCTTCATTTATGCTCAAATTTGCACAAAAATTGCTGCATACTACATCTTGATATCCTCTTATATCTTCTTCAATCCCAATTGGTGAATGGACTCGGACCTTTTTAACAGACTTTTTTTCTCATCAAGCAAGAGTTTTGTAGGAAACCATGAACCTTTGCAATGGAATACAATTCAAATTTCAGCACCCGTCAGCTTTAATTTTAATATTTGTTCTTAGCAAGGACATAATGAATGTGAAATTTAGAAGTGAAATGAGCTCCATTAATTATAACCCAAAATTAAATGATTAGGGCTGCATCGTTCTTCAATTAATTATTACCCTTGCATAAAATAAAAGAAAGCAACCTAAAGAGAGTCACAGGCTCAAAGGTATGTGCTTGAGTTGGCCCACGTGGGAATCATAATCTTTTTCCTTTTCTAGGGTAACTCTACCCATATTTCTTTATAACTAGTGGCTAGATAAAGGAAAATGGTTGTGTTAAATTTAAGCCTCCAACAATCAATATAAAACTCTTCTATTAAATCCCTAAGTCATGGATCGAAGGCCAACTATTTTTCGGAAGGCACATTAATTCACAGTTAAACAGAGTTATCATTACTTTTTTGGTATTCTTTCTGAACGTCGTGCGGTATATAGCGTGAGCACGAGAATACAAAACATGTTGGTGCAGCCAAAAAGGTTGAGGGATGATGAAGGGGGCGAGCTTGATGAAGAAGTAATGAGAGACTTTTGAACACGATGGAAGGAGACAATTAATAATGGGTTGAATTTGGTGAAGCAAAAGGCAATTTGCAATTGAGCGTGAACATGACTCAGGAGGACTCTTTTGCAGATTTACTCTTTTAGGAATGATGAAAGATATAACAATGATGGTGATACAGGTGGTTCCCGATTATCCAAGTGAAGCAAAGTTTGCTTCTTTTCTAACTGTATGACAAAACTTGCCGGCGATGAAATCTGCCTCTTGGGCCCCTGCATTTACCAACCTCTTTTTTTTTTTTTTTAAGAATCATTCTATCAACCTAAATTTAAACATGTAAACTGTTAAAACTTTGAGTGAAGCTTCATATATCAACTTAATAGTTTAACTAATTAAACGCTAATAATATCCACCGCCAACCACCACCACCACCGTATCACGAAGGTTGAAGTTGCATTTTCCATCTTCATTATTGAGGCCACCCGCATGTTATTGGACCTTGAAGCTTTTGGACGACAATTCTAATATGAATCTCCTGCAATCAATTCAAAGTTGGAGAATAAAGAGGCTGAACTTTGTTGACCATGAAAAAATGATATGCCGATTTTATAAAGCATCTGAATCCGGTCCAATGGTCCATTTTGTACCAGCAATCGATAACCTGTCGGTCGATCGAATTAAATTTAGCTTAAAGTAATTCTGAGTTTGACATTGAGAATTCATTAACTTTGCTCACATGTCTGTTTTACTCTTACAGTCTGTCGATCCGTATTGATGGTGCTACACGGAAAGATATGATGGACAGACAAACAGAGACAGGCTGATCCTATCTTAAAAAGCTAAGACACAAAAAAGTCAAGATTAGTATTCTCAAGGCGGAAACACCGTTTTGGAAAACCAAAACCTTAATTCGGCAACATCGTGATCGTCCGAAAACGCGTGAGGGGCAGCGAAAATCCCAACTTAGCCGCTTTGGAAATTTGACTTTTCATATTTGATTAATGCCCACGATGCGAGATTTCTCTTCCCTTTCTTCTTCCTCAATCTTCTTTATTGTGTATATTCTCTACCAGATTTTTCCCGTTGTTTATCATAAAAAAATTCAATTCAGCAGAAACTAATAATATGAAATTATTTGTTTTACTAAGTCTCAAATTCTCGGTCTGGGTTCAGATTCGGAGAATATGTTCATTGGATAATTTTTCGGGATACGTCCAAATTAATAATTATTATTTTTATATAGACTTCTTGTGTACATGGAGGCTATAACGCTGCGAGTCTGCAACTGCAAGGAAGGTCATATATCAACGACTGCCGGGTCCACCAAATCTGCTTAGCCCATCATCCTCCAAATGGTATGAAATATAAGAAATACTCCTCTTATTCAAAATATAAATTGATTTTTTAAAATTTTGATTTAAAATATAAATAATTTAGTATTTATATAAAAAAATTATTTTACTCCTTGCATTTATAAATATGTATTCTTATATTTATTGTAAATTTATGACGTTCTTTTCATTTATCATAATTGGAATTAAGATTTTAAAAAATAATATATATTTTTTTGAGAATAAAAATTTATTAACATGAAGATTGTTATAGAAAACTGCTCATATTTAGATGAGATGGGTGGAGTACTTTTTAAATTTTTTGTATCAATTATCTAATAATATTTTTAGTATTTATTTTGTTATTATTTAAAAATAATAATGTAATTATAATTCTCTCACGGACCCTAAATGTAGAAAATATTTATCAGTTTGCTTTGGTTCTAAACCTAAAAACTTAATCCATTTTGTATTCTAAATTTATGTTTTTTTAAACTATTCTTATTAATTATACAAATTTAAAAAATATTTCTATCAACGAGAGTAGTTTTCAGTGCAAATAATTAAAGAGACATTTTAAGAAAACTAGCACATGTTTTATACAAATTAGAGTTTCGGGTTGCACAAGTTAAAATTAAGAAATTTAAAATAAATACTATTCATATCATTGACACTGACACATTTAAGATAGCTAAATTTTTAAAATTTTTTTATTCAATTATTTTTCTTCTTGAGTATTTCATTTGTACACATCTTGTTGCTGGCTAAATTTAAAATTTATTGCTAATATTTTAAATTGTTAATTTTTTTAATATTTAAAAATATTAAAAGGTCATAAGGAAAAAAAAAGGATTTGTGCCTAAGATATAAGAAAGTACAATCTTATCTCTTCCTCACCAAGAAGGAAAGAGATATATTTTTTTTTACACACACACATGTGTATATGTATGTGTGGTCATAGAATTAAATATGTAATGTCTGTTGAATCGTTTCCACCTCAATTTTTTTATGTAAAAAGATGAAGAGTCATTGTGTTATCTTAATAGTGCAGAATATATGGTAAAACATGCATAATTTGAAAAGCCAAGACCATAAAATAAGGATTGATTATCCAAATCAAACTTAAACTTCTTTGTAATTTCATTTTTTCTTTTTACAGATAATTTTTATGGATGATAATTGATTGATATTGAGTACAATGAATAAGGAAGGTACATGAAAATTAAATCTCATTGATTAAAAAAATTAAAAAGGTATGGAAAAATACAACGAATATAGAATGATAGCTTGATAGAGTTAATGCTAACAATCAAAAAAATTAAAAAATAAAACTGCTCTTGAATCAATACTCCCATGAAAATAGACTAAAAATATATGAAAAATAGGAAACTAAATTAAATTACATTGATAAGAAAAATTAAAAAGGTATGAGAAAGTACAGTGAATGAAGAATGATAGCCAGATGGAGTTAATGTTAACAAATAGAAAAATTTAAAAATGAGATTACTCTCAAATCAATGCTCTTGTGGGATTAAATTAAAAATACATAAAAATAAAAAAATAAATTAAATATTATTAATAGATCAAAAAAATTTATATTAAAATTAACCTAAAATCCATTAATCAAATGAGAGTCAATTTTTTTTACTAATTAGATTAAAGCTACGAGATCCCTCTCCTTGATATTGACTAGAAAGAGACACACAACTCCTCTATCTTAGCTGCCTAACTCTCTATCGTTGATAACAAATTCATTTAAAAGAATGGCTGGTCAATCATCAATTGGGGCATATAAAATTGAGAGACGCAAGATATTCCTGTATTGGGAATAAAAATTCTCTAGCAGGACTTGAAAGCATAGAAAACATCATAGTTAATACTCTTATGATAGATGACTCTTAAAATAGAATTTAATGCTCTCGTCCTGTGAAAAGATAAAAATCAATTAAAATAAATTAAATTCTATCAACCAACCAATTAGAAAAAATACTTAATCACATCAACTAATGAAATATTAATATTAGACTAAAATTAAATTGATTATATAAAAATTAATGGACCAATGGGAGATGATGATTAATACTAATATTATAGCAAAGTATGTTGATCAATGGGAGAGAAGAGATTTATGATCAATTACCTTCATTCTACAATATTTGTAGATATTTAATTTAATTAATGCTCTCGTCTCGTGAGAAGATAAAAATAAATTAAAATAAATTAAATTTTGTTAATCAATGAGAAAAAATATCCAATCACATCAACTAATGAAATTGTAATATTAATATTAGACTAAAATTAAATTCATTATATAAAATTAATAGACCAATGAAAGAGGATAATTAACATTATATCAAAGTATGTTGACCAATGGAAGAGAGTAGATTTGTGACCAATCACTTTCATTCTGCAAGATTTATATATATATATATATATATTTTATATATATATATATTTTATTTATATTGATATTGATAACTAACTTAATAAATTTTCTTAATCTCTACCATAAATTAATTATCTAAATCCTAATCTCCTATATCAATTTAAGATTAAAGTTTTTTTTTTAAAAAAACTAGCCTTTTCATTATATTTTTTATTTCATATTGTACACATGGATTCTTTTATAGTAAACGGAAGGCGTGTTATTTGGAAGATCTGTGTAACTAAATCAAACCAAACTCATAATTGAAGCTTAAATTAACTCATTGATCAGTGCACGTCTTAATTTGGAGATACCTACATTGATGACGCTGGTCTTCCAATTGCTGCAAGGAGTTTTTTTTTTTCCCCTTAAAATCTTTTGTTACCAGAATAAAAGTTAAATCTTGCACTTTCACGTAAAAAACAAAAATATTAAATAAGAAAGATTGATAATAATAAAACTAAAAAAAGACATTTAGGATGAAACATGAAAGTATAAGGAAAAATGACAATAATTTTTTTAAAATATATAAATATTAAAAATAAATAATTTATAAATTTTGTTTAAATATTTACAGTTTTACTTTTCATATTCAAAAATATGAATATATAAAAAAAATTTAACATATGAAGATATGATTTGTTATTGCATTGTTATAAATAAAAAAAATTATAAATATTTAAATAAAACTTGTGAATCATTTATTTTTAATAAAAATAATTTAATAATTTATATAAATTTATTAATGATAAAAAATTTTTAAAAATTTTATGAAATTTTGACATTCTAAAGAATTAAATTATTATTATTTATATATTTTAAAAAATTATTATTATTATTTTTTAAAAGTATATTGGGTAACAAATAATAACACAAGACATCAGGAATGCTGTCACAGACTCAGAGCTTTGAATGCAATATTTATGTCATGAGCATGCAGCGCGAGCTACGTCAGATATCAATCTCCTCAAGTCAAATGGCCTCTATTTCTATCACTTTTTTAGTACTCTTTTTTTTTTTTTTTTTGAATACCAATTTTAGTACTTTCCATCAGTCTCCAAATCTCCAAATCTCCGATCACGCCTTATGCTGCCACGTAATCCACATGAACGGTTCAGATTCCGTCAATCCTACCCTTGTCCTGCTCCACATGACAAAAGCCATCATAATTCGCCATTACTTAGCCACGTTCAAACCACCCTCTCTGTGTCCTCTCGCACGCAACTTATTCAAATCAAGTTAGTTTTACTTTTCTTTATTTCTAATTTTAAAATATTCTCCCAAAATTGACGTCTTCTAGATAATTGCGTTTGTTTTAAAACGACCAAAGACCACGATGATGCTGATCAGCGTGACACCACTCTCCCATCATTATTTCTTTCCCCATTCAAATTTCTTTTCTTTCTTAAATTAATCACAGATAATATAACATTTGTTCATCATTAAATTCGCCCAAAATTAATCTAAGTTTTCCTACTTTCTTTCTTTTTTTTTTCCTTTTTTTCCCGGAACTAAAAGTCTTTCTGCTTTAATTAGTCCAATGAGCAACTATATATACGGCCTGCGTTCCCCACCATTTCACAATCACTTGCTTTTTTTCTTCAGCTGGGAAACAAATCGGAGACACTCACATACAGAGAAGAAACAGAGACTTTGCAGAACTTGATCGATGGCTGTCAAAGTTTATATCGTGTATGTATTTCTACTTCTTTGTTATGCTGAATTTCTTTCCTTAACTTTCTGAACTCGTTTATCTGCAATGACAATCTCTGATTTGAACTGTCTTTGTCATTAGTCTGTTATTCTTGCTTGCCTTTTATGGTTCTCTGTCTGCAATATCCAAAAAAACTGGGTTTCCTTTTCTTGCTCTACGGGTACTGAAAATTAATGTGTTTGAAACTTCTTTGGAGATCTTGAGTTTGAGCTGCGAGTATAATTTTCTGTGATCTGATGCATTCTTCTTTTCACTCTTCTCTTCTTTCTCGCTCTGTTTTGAGATGTTGCTTTGTTTGATCAGTGAAGGAATAGAAGAAAAACTTCTCTTTTTTCTACTGTCTGCTGTTGGTTGGGTACCGCTCAACAGCCATGAATGTCAAAAGCCCTTTTCTTTCTTTATTTCTCAGCTTCCCTGACTAACCTTATCGATTTGTTGAGCACTGATTCAGAAGATCCCTTCATTAACTTTTTTGTCTTGATGCATTTTATTTGGAAATAATCAGAATGATAGCAACGCACACTCCATTGTTCTGCGTCGAATTTGGTTTTTAAAAAATTTATTATTATAAATGTTATTTACTTTAGCAGAATATTAAGTTAGGATGGCTCAAACTATCCAACCAGAAACTTTTCCTCCTTTTGGAGCTAAGATGTAGAGTCTATTTGTGTATGCTTTAGGATTTGATCGTTGATTGTTTTCATTCCAGATTTGTCTCAAACTGCCATTATCCTTTTTTACTAAGAAAGATCCCAGCAAATCAATGAGTTGGAAAATTTGTTTTCTTTCTAGATTTGCGTACGGTTAGTTATAGATTTGTTTTATTTGGAACTTTTGGCTTATTCCATTGCGATGTCAAACAATGGGCACATCAGATGAATTTGTATTTGCACGGTTGTAGTAAAAGTGAATGTGTTATCTACCTTGTAGACAATAGTTGTTAAACCACAAGAGACAGAAGAAAATGAGAATGGAGCATATCTCTTTTTGGTATTGTGGAGCAAGGCTTAACAAGTCTCTGAATGTATCACTGAAACATTAGGTTTTTGATGCTACTTTGAGCCGATATTCTTTGACATCATTAGTTTGCTCCTCGAGGGACTGCAGACCAAAAAGTTGCAAATAAACAGAAGTTATTATGACTTCGTAAAAATAGAAATTGGTTGCAATCCTCTTCACCTCCCCCCATTACCTTACTGGGAGTTTCTAAGGCTTTATATTGCTTGACTTTCCTTTTTTCTCTAACTTCTGTTGTATAAAATTGACACAATATAAGATGTTTATGATCATAGCAAGAACCATATTATTACAGTAGTTGACCAATAATGCTGACATTGAAATAGAAAGTCACTTCTCTATCTGTTGAACGTGTCCATGAATGCATTTTGGCATCTTAAGGTGGTGTTTTTGTTTACTTATCTATCTGCTATTTAGAATAGAGTGAATGAGGGAAGAGAAAATCAGTGAGCAAAGTGAATTATGTATGTCGTCATTATTTTGTTTGGAAATTGTTGTTAATTAAAGTTTTTGTGAATCACTTTTACATGATAGTTTTACAATAGTTGTAATATGAAAGGAATTGGTCAGTAGGATGTACTTATAGGCGCATGATTTTGAGTAGACACAGTTTTAGAAGATGAATATTTTTGAGTTGTGACTTTCCTGATCCTGGTCGGTGTAAACTCCCAAGTGGCTGTTGATGTATGCGGTTATCAAGTCAGTTTGGTTGTTCAAATCACTTTTTTACTAGAATTAGAGAGACAATCTTAAACTTTCTTTGTTTTTTTTTTTTAATTATTGAAGTGGCAAAGCGCAATTATATCAAAAGATATCACCTATGAAGGGAACTTTCTTATGGAAGCAAGGTGTTATTGTGTTTGGAAATTTTAAAATATAAATTATTTATTTGATTGACAAAGTTCCTGTAAGCTTTATTTGCACAACGTAAATGTTCCTTCACTTTGACAGATACTACTCAATGTATGGACATGTGGAGAAACTAGCAGAGGAAATCAAAAGAGGGGCTTCATCTGTAGAAGGAGTTGAGGCTAAACTATGGCAGGCATGTGTCTGTTTAATTTCTCATTCCCATGCATTGCAAATTTTCACTGCATAAAAAAGTAATAAGCTAGCTACACCAATCTCAAAGCTAAGGCTCATTGCTCTATGTAGCAGGTTCATGCATTAAATTAACTCAATATTGTTGTCCCTTGTTGGCCAAGTTCCTTCATTGTGGTGGAAGGCTCTCAGTGCCTTCCAAATTCGTCCTTGCTAATTTTGGGAAGGTTCATTAAAAGAATTCATTAGGAAAAATATGATGAAGTTACCAGGCTGACTCTATTGAGCTTCTGAACAGGTACCTGAGACACTGCCAGAAGAGGTGCTTGGAAAGATGAGTGCACCACCCAAGAGTGACGTACCACTCATTACTCCTAATGAACTAGCAGAGGCTGATGGTTTTGTTTTCGGTTTTCCAACGAGATTTGGAATGATGGCTGCTCAGTTCAAATCATTTTTAGATGCAACTGGAGGATTGTGGAGGACACAAAGCTTGCAGGCAAACCTGCTGGAATCTTCTACAGCACTGGTTCTCAAGGTGGTGGACAAGAGACAACAGCGTAAGAGCCTCTCCTTGGGAATTTAGTTTTCTTCTCAAATCCAAAATGAATAAAAAATTTATGTTTAAGAAATTGTGGATTTTATGACAGGTTGACTGCTATCACTCAGCTGGTTCATCATGGGATGATATTTGTTCCCATTGGATACACATTTGGCGCTGGCATGTTCGAGATGGAGAAAGTGAAAGGTGGAAGTCCATATGGTGCCGGAACTTATGCCGGTGATGGCTCAAGACAGCCATCTGAGCTGGAGTTGGAGCAAGCATTCCATCAAGGAAAATATGTTGCCACCGTTACAAAGAAGCTCAAGCAAGCTGCATAATTATGTTAGGTCAACCAAGACATACTATTTATCAAGGAAAAATGGATACAGAAATATTGCTTTAAAATACTTTCCCATTTTTTTTAGCTTTAGAATGTACAAGTTCTATTTTTCTCTGCTTGCAGGTAATAACTGTTTTTCTTTTTCTTTCTTATAGAAATTATTGCTATGGGTGTTATACAGTCCAGTGGTGGTTGTTGCTATCTATTAATGAGAGAGAGTTTGTATTGTACTGTATTGTCCTTTCATTTTTGTCCGTTTCCTTCTATTGTACTACCGTTTCATGAATTCTAGTTCCAATAAGCAAGCAAATACAATGATAAGGCTTTGTGCATGATTTATCAACTTCTCCTTTATTTCTATCAACTTTTTGTTGATCAATTTTGATTATGGCGGTACTGATAAGACCCTCCAGGGGACATTAAGTAGGCAGTGGTTACACAGTAAAGAAATATATTCTGATACAAACCTGTTATACTTTCTCTTTATTGTGAAAGAAACGCTGTGACATGTGATTCACAGAGCTTTTGTGTATTCTTGTCCATTTATGTCCCATTTTTCCCCTTCCTATCATTTGTTTGCGTCGACCTGTTTCTACATGTGGCCTTGAAGCATCTAATGCCACCATTTCTTCACAAAGCCACCTGCCCTATTATCTTTTTCTAACTAGCTAGCCACGCCCATGAATTTTAGCAACAGTTTTTCGGTCTCCAATGGCATTGTCGTTTTCAAACATCACGAAGAGGATCTGACATACACTTGACACGTTCAGAGCAAAAAAGAAAAGAAAAGAAAAATCAGGGAATGGAATCTGCATTAAAGTTATCTATGGTGTGAGGTCAAGTTCTAGAATAAGCTTAGCTCACTGTTTCCTCAGCTGCTTATATAAATGCTCACCATGATGAAGAGCAATAAGCGAATTCTAAGCCAAAAATTGTCCGCGGACTTGTGTTAGGTAAAAAGGTATAGAAATCATGGAAACATCAGTAAATTTATAGAGGCCAAAATAACCAAAAGATTCTATTCCTCCACTTTCTAATCTATAAATCAAGGTGTCTAAAGTTCACTTATTAGCAAACGATTAAAAGACAAACGAAAGGATTTTTCTTTACCGCTAAAAAAGGAAACTGCTAGAATAATGTAAAATGACATATAGCGTCTTCTAGTTCCTAGACAGGAACTGGCATATCCATGGGAACAATCACGCCTGACGGAGAACACGATAATCAAACAGTGAGAGAAACAAAAATAAGAAAATATCAGGACCTGAAACACCCGTTATTTTCAAAGTCTTTTCGCTTGAACATGCCGTTCGCTATATTTAATTTTAAAGTCAATCTGTAGCAATTAAAGGAGAAAAAAAAACCAAAGAAAATAATAAGGAAGCAGTTCTGAGGGGGTTCTCCTTTACCTACATACCTTTCATGCTAAAGGCCTTTTTCACATAAACAATGTCTAATAGGAGGAGGATAACAGATTCCCACTATACATACCCTATGTAAGATGAATGTACAAGTTCAGGTTGCTGAGACAGAAGAGAAAAGATTGAAATAATGTTTGACAGTTTCTTAATGAAGACAAAATTTGCAGAAAGTAATGCAGGGCAACATAAGGAGCCCCATGACAGGCTAGCTTTGTTAGCATAATAATGACTAATGCTTAGATGCTCTTTCTTTGCACTAATATATGTTCTAATCTTGCTTCACAAGTTAGAAAGTGAGATTTGGTAAAGTACTTTAAATCAGAAGGCTCCAATCCCCTGGCCCAGATCAACATTAGTAATCATTCCCTGTCCTATAGTTGCAAAGTCATAACTCATAACAAGTTATCTAGTTTAAAATTAGAAAACTTTGTGAGCCAGTTCAAGGTAATAACATAATCATATATAATTTTTTTTATTTTCATGGATGGAACTTACAAATATATGTGACAATCATGTGGCTTGGATTGTTGTTATCATATCTGTTAATTTTTTTTTTTAAAAAACGGACGACAAGGGGGTGAATACTTTAAAGGTATTATGATGCAATATTCTAAAACATAGGTTCAAATTGTTCTACGTTGCAGGGAAGTTCTAGGAGAATATTGCGAATGATTAATGGTAAAAAGAAAGTCTTTTTTTCTGAATTTTGACGAGGATAAAGTATTGAGGGGTCATCTCTCCTCCCTCCATATACTTCCAATAGATGGCCCTTTATGTGACCATTCGGTATAAAGCACAGAAGCATGTGCAAAAAGCATCTGCAAAATATATATTTTACTGCAAATTATTTCTGATACATGAAAGTTAATTGAAACTAAAACATGAAAAGAGGAGGTGTGGGCCACCCTCTGACTTCCACTTACATATTCCAAGGATGTAAAAAAATCAGTGAGATTTCCAATCAAAAACAAATCCTCACACTAACTCAATCTTGTATTGAATTCTATATCTCAATTATTCCTACAGATTGGATTTTTTTTAAGGTAGTGCCAACTCTATTAACAATATATGTAGTAACAAGGAATTGATAAAGCCCTCTTTTTTCTCCTACAAACAACAAATTACCGTCTAGTGTAGTCTAATAACATTCCCTACACTGACCAACCTTGTCCTTCCTAATCACACTTGGCCACCCCCAGCATATAATTCTTCAATTATTACAAACTAATATGCTCCAACTGGTCCCAATATTTTGCCACACGCTGCATCATTCTGCATTCGGCTGGCCCAACAATGGCCTTTCTCTCTCTCTCTCTTTTGGAGAGTCATTTCATCTTTCTTTCTCTTTCATCACATTTTCTCTCACTCTCTCTCTCTCTTTCCAAAACCCAGAAGTACAGAGGTGACAACTTTACAAATTTATGCGGGCTTCTGTGTCTTCTCTTTCTTTGATGTTATAAAAATCTTGCCATCCCCAACTTGGCCAGGTTTGATAAGATAGGTATGTCCTAGTTTCGTGCACCAATTTGCCACCATTGGTTATCTGTAAGTTCCTCCGAATGTTGGCGTCCAAAAATCAACCGTGGTTTCTTGAGTCACTGGAAATGTACTCGACACTGGCACCAGACATAGCCCTCTACTTCTCAGATCTTGCTTTCCACCCTCACCTTCTTTAGATTTACCAGGACTCTGTATTTAAATTAAAATTAAAAATTCCTATTAAACTCAGTCGTGTTCTACAGGTTGTGGTAATATTAAGCTACGAGTGCCTGTATCATTACCTCTTGATGCTGTATGGGAGCTCCACTTTTCATATACGGTGTGCTTAAAGCCTACAAAAGAAAAAGGAAAGCACATAAGGATAAGACGAAACTTTGTACTATAATTTTAATCTTATAGTTGCACAGTAATAGGTAATGGGAGTTACTGTCACTTGTCCATGGAGGAATTTGATGTATTCAATGGCTTCAGAGAGCACCGAGGCAGTATCGGTCTGACACAATAATATAACAAGGAATTTCAAATCTCATTAATATAAACATACACATGTTCTGTGATCATAAAATTTGCAGAGGGAAATGAATGATCATTCTCACCTTTCCGAAAGGCGAAACCAATTGTTGCAGTGCAGTGATTCTGTCCCCCATCTTCTCTTTTCTCACCTGTTAACACCAGAACTTCAGCTTCATATATCCATGTTTATGGATTCAGAAACAACAAAAAGATAAAATCAACGACAATAATTATGAAAAGATTAAACGTCCCTTCTTGTCAAAAAGTATTGATTACCTTGAACGCTGGCAAAGAAGACGGAGTTTCGTTCCGAGGCCTTTTGGGTGCCGCCTCGCTCCCACTTTTCTTCGCCACACTACTCGATTCCCTCACTTCACACATATTCTGCAAAACCATACGTTTATGGTTACATTAATGCATTGATTAACTTACAACTACGCATACTTAATTACACACACACACACAAACAAAAGTATGTGAGATAGTAGTAAACTATACCTTGAATTGAACATCGAAGCTTGGTGAGGGGAATGGAGGTTGCAAAGAGGGAAAGACGCCAGATCTAACATCTTTAATATTGGAAGACTCAGAAGCGTTCCAGAAGGGAGCGTTATTTGTGAAATGCAACTGATTGTTATTATGGGGTGGTTGTTGTTTTGGAGGTGAAGCTCTCAGAAACTGAGGAACTTTAGACCATGAAGGCATTAACTGATCGTTAGTGCTCAATCCGTAGCTTGACTGGTACGGGAAGTTTACCTGGCGATTCTGATGATCATACTGGACTTGACTGTTATTATGATCAGGTCCTAATAGTCCTTGTAATATGGACGAGTTTCCATACAAATCCATCTGAAAGTTAGTGCTTGAGGCCAAGCCTTGGGTTGTGACAGTACTATCTCCAGAACTATACTGAGGACTAAACTGCGTTTGATCCAAAGAGAAACCCCGGTTCACTTGTTTTAACTCGTTCATTGAAGAAGACGACTCTGTAGAAAACAACTTGTCCCTCCACTGAACCTGAGACAACCCCATCGCACTTTCTTGCTGAAAATTCGTGCTTGATGTGTTCAAGAAACTGCTCTCCCCACCTTTCTCCGCAACTCGACTATACGACATGCACAAAGTTACAAACTTTTTTTTCCTCCCGGAGATTAAATTCTATGCTCATCATTAACGCGGTATAAAAAAGAAAGAAAAGATCTTTACGGAGTGCACTTACAGAAAGGAGGGTTGATTCCAGTCAAGAGGTTGGGAAGAGAGGCCTAAACCCATCATATGCAAGTTGGGGTCGGAGGAAGGAGGTGAGGCAGCCATGGAAGACCTCGGCTTGACATCATGAGACATATCTGTATGTTGCCAAGCGAAGCTGGGGATGGAGGAGGAAGATTGAGCAGCCTCAGTTTCGAACCTGGAGGTTCTGGTTGAGCTGTCCCACCAGTTTCCAGTGGCTTGAAATTGATCTTCCGCCATGGCTGGTTAATGAAAATGGTGGTGGGTGGGTGTTCTTGCGATTGCGAAGAGCATCAGATTCTTGTTTCGTGAGAAGAAAATGAATCTAAAACGGTTCGCAACTTCGCAGTATTTATATTGGGAGGTGAAGAGTGAAACAGGCAAGTTGAGGACCTGCACTTGGGAAAATTCGGGGAGCGCTTGATTAGACGCTGGAATTAAAAGCGTCCTTTTTTTTAAAAAAATTGAATTCCTTTGGTTCTCTGGTTATTTAATTTCTTTTTTGACTCTATTTTGGTTAAAATGCTGAATCACATTCTCGGCCGCCAAGCATCCTAGTTTACTATATTGCAAATTAAAAGCATGTTTTCAGATCACTGGTTTCTATTTTGCTAATAATTTTAAAAGGAAAGCGATAAATCGCCATGCTTTTAAAACCAGGACTTGCCAGGTTGCCGATTCCTTCATTTAATTTCTTTCTTTTAACGAGTGACGATTTTTATTTTTATAATTTTGTTATTATTTGCCACACCGTGTTTATAAAAGCTGCACATGCAAGAACCTTCATTAACGTGACACACAGTGGCAATCGAAACATGCTATTGTACCTATAGGGTCGTAGGGGGTAGAGTTAATCACAGTATTATACTAAACCCCCCTCTCAAATTATAAGGTATTTTTTCAAGTTAAACATATCAATAAAATTTATTAAATATAGTTTATAATATTAAGAGAGGAAAAGAAAATATATTTTAAAAGTGAAATGGTGTAATATTAGAATAATCATCTTTACTGAAATATTATTTTTAAATCATTTTATATTTTAAGATATCAAATGACATTTAAAACTATTTTCTAAAATGGGAAGGAGGGAATTTATGGACTATAATAATTAAAAATATTAAGACACACATTTTTTCGAATTGCAAATAAAAATTATGCGTATAAAGTAGCAACAAAAATTAAAATCTTTGAAAAAAAAACCATCAAATTTTAATAGAGAATATAGTTTTTAATCCCTAAAGTTATATTTAGTCAACTGGGTCAAGATATTTGTAATTTTTTATTAAGAAGTCAATCATGAAACAATTACGGTCAATTTTGGTGAAAGTTAGTAGTATTATCAAACATTATTGTCACTCATATTGGTTATCTTGAAATATAAGATAATTTAACAAAAATAATATTTTATTAATAATGTTTTTTAATATTACTCTTCAAGTGGAATTAAGATGATTATAGTGTGCTCTTCTTAATCTTATTTATAAGTCATTCTTATCTTAAAATTTAATAAATTTTTACCTTTACTTCCTAGTTAATATATGGACAAAAAGTATTTTTAATAATTTTTTTAGTATTTAATAATAACAGAAAGATGAACATATAAAATACTGAAATACCATATAAGTATGATTAAAATTAATCTTTTCTCTATGTTCTATAAATAGGATTTGAGGAGTAATGATTAAGTATATAAATTTAAATTAAGGTAATTTTTGCAAGTTTTTATTTTTATTTTGAAAAAATAATTTGTAAAGTATCATTATTAATCTTTATTGATATATGTAATCTTGTGTCAAATTGTCTTATAATTGGGAACAAAGAAAGTACTTCCTCCATCTTAAATTATAAGACACTTTTAGATAAAATATCACGTGTCAATAAATCTCATTAAATACACTTAACAGTCTTATCTTTTCAAAATAAAAATATAAAATTTTTAAAATACCTATCATTTAATACATTAAAAAGAGAAGAGATGAAAATTAATTATAAAAAGAAAAAGGATAATATTATAATTGGTGTATTTAATAAAATCTTAATCTATCTAAAATGTTTTATATTTTAGAATTAATTTTTTTTAAAAATGCCCTATAATTTGAGACAAAGGGAGTATTATATATAAAAATATTGATCAAGATTGACTATAATTTTAAGAATTAATTTTTTAATAAAAAATTAAAAGGTCATTAACTCAAATTGATCACAAGCTCACAAGTCACAACTACCCATTAGTTTCGGCCAAAAAAACTCTCTATATTAACTAAAAACTCTTTATTTTTACCGCAGGAAAGCGTAAATAAAGAGACCAAATATGATGCCTAATATCAAAAATACAGTTGTAAAAAGCTTCCCACGTTTAGAGTAATAATCAATTTCGACAAAATTCGTTTAAAAGATGGATTTTTTTATATAAATTCGCAAAAAAAAAAATCATATTGAATTGACTAAATATAAAGTAAATTTAGTTTTTTTTTAAAAAAAAAGAAGATAGAGTAATTAGAATCTTTCACGGTGACATGAATTTTAATGTTCTTAATTTGTGAAATTTACAGTGATTGATAATTAGTGAAAATTACAGTGATTGATATGCGTGTGTAGGCGCTGCATCACCTTATTAGCATAATAGCACTCACCAAAATAGCTAAATTGGATAACTTACAAACTTTTTTGTTTTTTGTTTTCTTACCTCAAACTTACAAACTTCATGTACTATGTTAAATTAAAAAGGAAAAAAAACTATATGATGGAAATTAAATTTCAAAAACAACTGGCCAGGATATTTAAAATTTTTCCTCGTAAAAAGATAAGCGTATCCTTCTCTGAGCCTAGGACAACAAGAAAACGCGAATTTATTTTAAGTAAATTAGACATGCATCATTCAATGAGAATTAAGAAGTGCCATAAATTAAATAAGGAGTGTCATATATGGGCGTATAAATAATATAGAAACTATAATAAGTTGTATTAGGCATATATATATGTATAATATAACATTAACAAAAGAATATGATATAAATAAGGGAAAAAATAACTTTGGTCCCTACACTTTGCTCCTTGCACTTTTTTTTTGTATTCTAAATTTTTACACTTTTATTTTTTAGTGTTTTAAGTCCCTTCATAAACAAATTGTATAGATCTTGGAAGAACTTAAAACATCAAAAAGTAAAAGTATAAGGACCTAAACACAAAAAAAAAAGTGCAGGACTAATAATAAAATGCGACAAAGTGTAAGGATATATTTTTCCTATAAATAACAATGATAAAGATATTAATTAGGCACCATTGAAACATCGAAATAATAAAATATTTTGTCAATGGAAGTGTTTCAATGGTAATGCCACTTTTTTCCTCTGGAATAAGTTCTGTATTCAAATCCAACATTATTGACATGTTTGTATGCATGTATGCATGGGTGCATGACTAGGTTCGGAGTAAAATTAAAATAACAACAACAACAATAATAACAATAATAAAATATTTTAAATTATAATTAGTACCATCAAGTAGAGGAGAAAAGAAAAATGGTTGTATCAATAGGGGGAAGTGATCGAAAAGACCATAGTTTAATTTGTAACCATGCGTGGTAGCAAATGTTTTTGGGGCGTGAGTTGAAAAATTTTATTGAGGAATCATAATCAATATATATTAAGATATTTTAAAGCCTTTTAGGAGTCGTGCTCTAATGATCACAATGTTGAATCGTGGCGTGTAAAACCGAGTTGAATATTTTGGGACGTCAACCCACATTTTGAAGACCTTATGTCATTCTCCAGCACTAATTATATATAATTGATTCATGCTTATAAAATAACATCAATTTCAGAATGTTGATGATTGTGCTCAATTAAATATAAGAAATTAAAGACAGACACGACCACTTTAATTTAGACCTTCTGTATACAAATTCCTAACTGAAAAATAAAAAAATAGTTATGATCAACAGCATTGTAAATAAAATTGTACTGTACTTTTTTTTTTTTGAAGTTATTAGTAATCAACCATTAAGATTCAAGATCATATAAAAACCGATGAGAGATGCTAGGGGATCCTTTGGTATAAAATAAGAATTGAAAATAAAATGGAAAAATTATATCGCAACTCGGTCAAAAGCTCTAATAATAAAAAGATTTTCTCATTTTCTCAAAAGTCAGCCTGAAAATATGGTTGGGCCAAGATTTGGGAGGAGAGGAAAAGGATGTTAGGTATTTGACGAAATTCTCCGAAAAAGTAAACATTTTTGTTCTGTACGTAACGGTTGGAGGAAAATATATGGTTGTAGGTTGGTGAAATATTCTCATACGTCTTCTTCCATTTACTTCTTGCCAGAGTCAATTTCTTACATGGCCCCAGACGCCACGCCAATTAATTTTCTTTTCGTCTTTTAAATTGTCGTAGTTTTCCAATTTTTTCCTTTATGCCTGTATATTTTTTACGACCTCACTTTATAATTATATTAGTAAATTAAAGTAACACTTTAGAAACTAATGTAATACTCGTATATTTGAAATTAAAAAAAAAAACGGAAAGATGATGAACCGTAACTTATGGTGAATAACTTACCTAATGAGAAGCCCAAATTGGTCATCTGAAAATACATATTTTTTCGGGTTCTTATTATAGTTATAGGACATTTTTTAGAATGATTTTTTAATCCTTAATATAAAACATTAAATGAGGTATTAATTATATTTTTTATAGTATCTATATTTAAATTCATCACTCATGAAAAAGAATTTAATATAAATTTAAAATTTTTTATTTAAATATGAGTAAAATATCATTGACTTAAATGGGGGGGTGTGTGTGAAGAAAAGCTAGGCGCATTAGATTAATTGCTTTTGAATAAAAAGAAAAAAAAGTGAGAGAGTAAATAATGGGATTGTTAAAAAAATATATTAAAACCATAAAGTAAAATATATTTTTTTAAAAAAAAAAAAACTACTTGGAGAAGCGAGCATAAGAATTAAGAAGACATAGATGAGAGGGGGGGGGGGAGTGACGTGCTGCTTGAAAATAAGGAGGGAATGGAAACACGAGTCAACGAGTGGGGCAGGGACGGCGTGCACGCGTGTGCGACACGTCGGACCCACCTTAATTCTCCGAAGCCTTCCCTTCAGGCTCCAGAGTCAGAGCCCTGAAAATGACTCCTTAATCCCCCCTTCCTTCATTCACTCATCAGCTTGAATATTCTCATCTCATTCTCACGTGTCCATCATCCCCTCCGCCCAAACCAAATAATCAATTTGCGTTATAGTTTTCCCCAATACAGTATTTCTAAATCAAATTCAAAAATAATATTAAGAAAATATTAGAAAAAGTACATAA